AAATAAAATATTGTTTTTTTCTCCAAAGTGAATAAAAATCAAGTTACATCCTGATAAGAGGAAGTGTCAAGAGAAGGTTGCTGAAGGGTCCTGTTAGAACCACAACCCAGACGATCTGTGGACTTATAAATCGAGAGCATGAATGAGTCACAGACCCTGTGAATCTGTACTAATTGGACACTAAGAGGTTAATTTGGGAGGTTTCCATGAAGCCTCTTCAGATAACAACAGAAAGATCTGTGAGTCCAATTGTCCAAAAAACAACATGTGATCCCTTCTGAGGCAGAGGAGACAAGGGCAGAAATGAGGCCAAAGGCCAGCAGTGGGCCTATTGTCCAGGGCTGGCATGGTACGGCCCGGCTGCCAGTGAGTGGTACCAGGATAAGACAACAGATCCCATTCAATTCGTGTTCCTATCAGCAGCTGCTAGATGGTGGGGTGGTATAAAAATAATAGAGGCCTTGTTTCAGCTGGCTCACCCCACCCCAGCCTCCACATCCCTCAATTTCACATCTGGAGACGTTTGCCCCCACACCTCAAACAGCTAAATAACCACTCGGGCTCATTTCCCAACACCAGCACAAGCCTGAATTCACCAGGGACAAAAACAGGCCTGTGAAACAAACAGGAGTAAAATTGGAGGTGTTTTTTTAAATTCCTCAAAGTAGTAAAATCTAAGCCCCGGTCCTTGTTCTGTCTCCAGATCTTGTGCCTCTCTTCCACTAACAGCTCGGTTCCTTCGTCGTCTGCTGTCTCGAATCACCCAGGCTTGTTTTCTCCCTTTGTCTTTGTGTTCAGTTTGCTCCACTCAACCTCGCTGACCCGCAGCCACAGTATGATTGGCTTTATCTCTGAGCTCAAATTGGCTCTCTCCTGAGTTCAGCGAGTTAAAGCTAAGGCCTTCGAAACCCCTTTAAATGCCAGCTAGGATGAAATGGAGACCATGTGTACTATAAAAACAAACACAAAGTACTTTGTGACACTAAGCCCTGAAGCACAAATGGTATTTTTATAACATAATTCAACACTTTTAAACACCTTTAACATTTAAGGCATTTTCTAGTGTTTCATGGACCTGCAGACATCTGTGACTCTCACCTTGAGGTTAGTGTGCAAAGCGGATTCTGGAGGATAAACGATGAAGTGGCGTAATGTGAAACCGAAACCCTGGGAGTTCTTATGGAGAACCAGCGTCCGGGGACCCTTCCAGCCCATGCCGACCCCCTCCCTTCCCGGCCGGGTCGCCATCGGCGGCCGAGGGTTGTCACCGGCTGAGGAGAAACCATCCCTCCGCCCCTTAGCCTGTAAACACAAAGAGATCTGGTTAAAAACATTACCCCAAGCAGGAAAAGCAATTTTATACAAAAAGACTGCATTTTTATCATTTAGTAAGCTGGAATATATGCTTCTAATAAGATTTACGGGCATCAGAAATGTCAGCAATATCAGTTCTTTCCCATTATTCGCACCAACACTCGAGAAAAACCTGCAGTTGTCCAGATTTATGGCTCACTGGAGAAGCACAAGGTGCCTCTGTACTCGGTGACATTAACTCCGCCGCTGCCGGACCGCTCATTAGCAGCTTCCTTGTGAAGTCCTGTCTGCTAGCCTCTGCATGCCACCCAGCCTCAGAACAATAGTCAATAAACACACCTGGGGGAGGGCAGGGGGGACTATCAGGAAGAGGCCATATCTAGACGGGGCCAAGCGGGAAATGCGGGTATCACCCGGTTCAGACTACAGTGACCTTGGTCTTATTATAGGGAGAGAAGATCCAGGGACTCTGAGAGTGGAGAATAAAGGCAGATTTTCAGCACAGCTCTCTAAATTTCTCATTCCTGCTGCCCAGTAAATAAGTCCGGCAAGCTCAGCTGACAGACACACGTGAGAACTATCACCCGCCTGCTGCCCCATCGACCCACATCTGTCAGTCAAACACAATCACCTGACCAAACAGGCAGGAGTAGGAGCGAGGGAGAGGAGGAAGAAGGGAATCTGAGTGCCAGCTCACAGCTTAAGTCTGCTGCACACATCAAGTCACTGCAAAACTTTTCTTAGTAAAACTGAACTCCCTGCACTCTCACACTCTCCCAAACATAAATTAAAACACTGTAATGACTAGTCCGACCAAGTCAGCCCGGTCTTTCAGTCACTGTGCCGTGCTTTATTTTGTTTAAAGCTGCAATCTTCTGCATACTGATGGTAAAAATAACTTCTTAGCATCTTACTGATGGATACTACAGCATAAAAATGCAATGCACAGCAGACAAAAGTAACATTTTTAATAGTTTCAGAAAGAGATTATAAACAGTCGGATCATTTTTCTTCTTAGTAAATGATCATTTAGACAAAAAAAGACATTGATTTGTTTTTCATTAACTAAAGATGAGGGCTCACACTGATACGAGCAAACCAGGAGCTGCACGGGGATCTTAAATCACATTGCGCACATTTTTACGCCTACGCACTGTTTCGGTTAAATCAACGATGAGCTCAGGAGGACACCAGATTAAATGATGACATTTTATCTAATCTTACTTGAAGATTAGATTACATTAGACGAAGTGAATGATGACAGAGGTAAAGGTTGCCCAAATAAGTTCGTACACTGGTTAAACGCTAACGTCATACACTGTGAGAAATGCTACAGGAGTCTATTAAAAGTAAATGTGATCCACCTCTCACCTACTAACTGTTACATTAATGTACAAAACTGTAAACGGATACAAACAAGTACCACCTGCTTGACCGCCTTCACATTCACCTGGGTTTTGCACATTTACTAAAGCATGCGGCAACTGCTGCTGTGATTTGGCACAATATAAATAAAACTGAATTGAATATACATTTTAATTTGTGCTATAAGCCTTTAAAACCCTGCAACAACAGAATTTTTACTCCCCAGCACATTTGAACTAATTTAATGACTAACAAAAACATCTGTATACTGGACATTTTACTTATCTTATGATGTTTTTTCCACAGGTTTTATTGATTTAATATGGGATGAACACCCCTGTCGAAGGTCACTTTGTGACATGCCATTACAGCCCTAAAGATACAATAAAGGGTAGGGCTGTTCGATATAACGATATATATCGGATGACGATATAAAAACGTCTATCGTTTCATTTTACGCTATCGTTTGTTTCGTGATGTCGCAAAATAAACTGTTTACGGCAATATTTTTTCATCGTTTTGATGGTCACTGTAGTGGCTATATTAATTTCTTAAAGTTCTCTCTTTCTCTTATATTTAATATAACCACACTACAGACGGACAAGCGCCTGTTTTTATGCGTTGTGGTTAGAAACAACGACGTAAAACCATCGCTTCGCGTGTCCGCTTGTTTATGTTCCACATAAACCTTTCACAATAAAGCTCAAGATCCTGTTGAGACTTTTCAAAATAAACTGAATCACGTAAAAGAGCAGATTATTTACGCGGATGAGAAGTAAAAAAAAAAGAGCCGCCAGGTGCTAAAAAAAATAGACCTTAGACTCAAACATTAGAACAGGCTTTTCCCCGCAGCACACCTTGTAATAAATACTCGCAAAGAAAACGTCAGCGTTACATCTTATGTCTAAAAATGTATCGTTTCATGCATCGGTTAAAACACTCGACTCCAGCTACATGACGCGCAGTTGGAAACACTTCCCGCAAGTCGAGCTGCCCGAGATTCAAAGAATTTACAGAAAATGTTACATTTTTGTGATTTATATCGTTATCGGGACGATAGAATTCTTATATCGGGATATGAGATTTTGGTCATATCGCACAGCCCTAATAAAGGGACTTATTTTATGAGTGCACAAGCCATGAATCAACAAACAGAGGCCACAGATGTCATTTAGGTGTGATTTGATGTGCATGTCACTTGATATGAAAAATGAGTGAACGCTCTGAGATTCAGATTACTCAAACCACACTGAGATATGAGTCAGTGTGCCCTTAAAAGTCGACATCCTAAACTGTTTTGCGCGTCTTCAGATTCTGTGATTGTGTATTTTGCATACATGTTTTCGTGTCAGTGGGTTAGTATTTCTAGACCACATCATCTAGATGCACACCCCACATTCCGCTTCCTGTCCTCCCGATAAACACGCTTACACGCACGCACAATAACGCGCACAGGCCTGTCCTGGCGAATCTCCGCATGGCCACAGAACAACAGGAAGTGGCAGGCTTGAGGCAGGAAGTGGGGCAGCACTGTGGGGCGGGATAACCCTACAAATATAACCACGGAGAGTTATGGAGGCACTTCCATTCTTCACCCCTCTTTCTCCTTCCTTCCAACCTCTCCTCCCTTCCACCTCTTCTTCCTCTCTCTCCACTTCTATTCTTGCAGTGGAAACCTGGCTCTGCCGACATTTACCGCACATGTTCTTTTCCTCTAATTTTACATTCCATCAAGGGGAAAAAAAAGAAACCAAAAAATAAGTTTGCACGTATAGGCTACTTTCAGAAACATCAAAATGTTTGCTGGTTAAAACTCTTAAACTTTAAGAAGTATAAATATAATTTTGGTTAATCTTGGCTATTTTCCAAACAATCACAAAAGATTATTTTGGAAGATATGATGTGCACGTTTCGCAGACTGTGATATCCATAGATTCTCAAAGCTGGATCTTTAGTCTGGCAGTCCAAACAATGTAAAATAACCCTTCTATTTTCTTTTCTTAGGCATGCAGCGAGGCCTATTATGCGAGCCGCATAAAGAGGTGCGTGAGGAAGGCAGGGGAGTGCTTGGAGTGTCAAATTAAAATGATAAAGAAAAAGAAAAGGCCAAGAAAAAAAAAAGAGGAAATGAAAGAGCAACGGGGTGAAAGGAGGAAGAGACAGAGCGAATTCCTTGGAGGGCGCGGTTTGGTTTTGGACAAGTTGAAACACACACAGCAACTGGCACAGGAGGGGCGGGAGCACAGATAGAGTGAATGAGACGAGAAGGATGAGGAGAGAAGGAGATGCAGAAGGAGGAGGAGTATCGGGCCCCAGCGAGGGACAGGCTCCAGCACGCCGGTTTCGACCACATGGCCCCTCCCGGCGCTGAGAATACTGAACCCTGTGATTACCCAAAACACACAGGGTCTGCCTGGGTCTCTGAGCCAGGAGGACAGTTTCCCACTCTGCAGCTCTGGACTGTGTGGGCTGTGTTTCTGCTCGGCCATTCTGCCGAATCTAGACTCAACCTTTTCCCCCTAAAACAAGACGAACCCCCTCTCATGCCCTCTGAGCATGATTCGACCAGTTTCCTCTGCCACCACTACCAAAATAAAATTAAAAAACAGTTTAAGCTTGCTGACAGGCCTCTCCGGGACAGGACATTC